TGAACCACGCCGGGCCGCTGTCTGTCACCACCTGTACGCTACAACCAAGTTCCTCACCTGGATCGCAAGGTGTTCTGTACCTGTGAACTAGCACTGCTTCCGTTTTACCTGTATAGTAACACACCTGTCTGGTATACAGGTAGTGTCGTACGGACATATACAAACCTGTATATTATAATGTATATGCACCACTTGCAGCATGTAAAATTGTATTGTATTTTTGTTCTTTAAAATTCTTACCAAAATGGAGTAAAACCCGCACAAATATCGGGCTTGATAAGAGCGGCTATCGGTACAACTAACTATCGTGTTGCCCCGGACCGAGCACACCGGACTGTTTGTTCACGGGGAGATTTTTCTCGATAATAACAAAACCAACACGAGCCGGGTCCAGTAGGCAGCTCTAGCGTGGAGACTGTGTTTTCACAGCTAGTGTTTCTCTTACCGTGCTTAGGATAGAGTATCGACCGCTGGAAACTCTGCAAAAACAACAGGGACAAAAATACTGGTGAAGGTTTCACAGGTTGGAGAATTAAAATCGCGCTCGAGATTATTTTCTGTGTCAGAAAATGTTAAAATGTGGCCTACACTAGCGCTAGTATGAGGAGAGAGGGTCAGATCTCCTAGTGCACGGCACACACAGTTGTCAAGGAGGTTTTTATCGAGCCACTCTAGAGCCGCACACCTCTGAAGTGGCCGATCGAAAAAATCGACAATTTTGAGTTCCACGGCAACTCTGCCAGGTCAAGTCGTGCCGGTGCGATTTTCCAGGGGGAGGGGGGCACCCTAGTTTTTTTTCTTCAAATTACTTCAATATTTCCTCACAATATGTGGGCTATAATCATCGCATAAAAAGCATGATGCAATATTATAAGGAGTTGAGACTCAGGTGTCTTTAGTTGCAGATGTATTTTTTTTTTTTTTAGATTTTTGTTGAGTGCAGTGTCGGCATCTTGAGACTTAGAGAGGCCTAGGGACATCCTGTTGGGTAAGGACGGGGTTTAAACCCGGGGTGTGGGTACTTTACACACTCGATTGGGTCCCGCCGGCTCGGCCCGCCATGTTTACCATGCCTGTACGGCGGCGGAAATTTTCCCCGCGACTCGGGGACAACGCAAACACACCTAGACGGCGCTATCAGCCCTGCTTTATCCGGTGGCAGAGATTTTTAACAGGGCGAACCCTAGGCGACCCCGGACCTATCATAAATTCATCAAAGTCCTCCACACTTTTTTTGTGTATTCCTTAGTACGGGGAAATGGTTTCATCAGGCTCCAAGCGGCAATGGTAACAGATTTCGGGCACACTCGTGGTTTAGAACACTGTGCAAACAAGAGACCAATGCATTAGCGTATAGTGTCGGTGTGCATACAAGGCAAACAAGAACTTGCTGAGAAACGGTTAGAGAGGGGGAGGGGGGCTCAGTTCAGATATGCATTTCTTCGGGTCAGTGGAAAAACTAATACCTGGCCTTAGCACCACATCCTGTAGTAGTAGTCGTAGTAGCCGCTGCCAAGACAAGTCAGAAAAAAAGATGCTCTAAAACTCTTCTGTTTCTGAGCACAATTCCACTGACAGTGTTGACTTCAACTCACGCTATTATTTGTCGCACCCCCCTTTATTATTACCCTTCCCCTCAGGGATAACGCAATAATCGTTCTGTGCAGAAAAATACCCCAATGTACCAGCCGCTTCATCAGCCTAGTAAATAATGTGGCAGCTCCCAATTTGGAAATATTATTTCAATCAAATCTAGATCTGTCCTTGTCCACGATACCCCAGGTACCATATTTATTCTAGGTGGTATTAGACCACATATGTTTGCACTGCCAGTCGGCTTAACCTATGGAACTGTCAACCCGAGAAGGAATTATTCTTCAGTCAACATGATGCATTTTGACACGGACATCAAGCCGTTCTAGTAATCCTGTTTTGGTGTAACGTTTCGGGTGAAACAGTGGGCAAATTCTCCGTGAAAAAAGCGGCATACTACGTTGTAACATCTATCAGCAGGTAGAAATTCCACCACCACATGCAGTTATGAAAAACGACATCCTCTCGCCTTTGGACAAAAAAAATGACGCGGTGCGGTGTTAGATTTCATACAGAATTCCCACTTCATATCATCACCCCGTTTTTCTACATACATAAACATCAGCTGTTCATAATTCTAATTGATCTAGTATGACATCAATTCGGTATGAGAGCCCCGCACAAAAGGTAGCGGACGGGGAAAATTTTGCAGAAGAAATTCGATCCTTACCGCGAAATCCCGTCATACGGCGTAAGCCTCTCAGCATCCCCGGCCGACGTCAATCCTCTACACCAACACGCTAAGCACCTTTACCGGGGGACGACTTCTCCTGTAACCGGATTTAAAACCACCAGAGAAAGATTCCCCGTCCGGCTGCCTCAAAAACCCTGACCGAAGTGATACTTCTTTTGAAACAGTTGCCGTATAAAAAGCACAATATACACGGTAGAACATCTAACCTATTCTTTCTTTCGCGCCACTTTTCCTGGGAACAATATGCCTAGGGTTTCCCCTGAAAAGAATCACCCCAGGCCGCCACATGTTTGTACAACTTCTCCTCACAACTGGAGAAAAGAAAAGGGAAAATAGGGGATTCATAGAAACTGTGTGTGTGTTTGTGTTTCTTTTTTAAAAAGCTCGCGGAAGTGGTGAATCGGCAACAATGAAATAACGAGCTGACGAATTTTGACACATATTCGATCGCTGCGAACAAGTCGCTATTTTGGTAAATTGATTTTCAAACGGGCCTCTGGGACCCGGCGTTAGTTTGGGTATTAAAATGCCGAAATAGGAATATCACTGGGAGTGTTTCTAAATTCTCACTTCTCATTCTATATCGCCTGCTTTCTTTTAACACTATAATTTAACCCACACGAAAAGAACATAACGCGTTCACATAGAATTAGGGCAAAAATATAACAACAAAATTTAGTTACAGATGTACGTGAACGCATCAAAATATTCAGACAGAGAACGAATATGTTACATGTCTCGCCAGCAGGGTGATTTTTTTACATCTCTTGGCTTGGAGAGGTGGTAATTGTGTTCTTTAGGACCTCCACTGTCAACATTACCACATAAATGTTTGCGAATGGCGAGAAAAGGGCGGGGGAAAGAGAATTTGTTTGCACGGCAAGTGGTTAGACTCGGCACGCGATTTTCTCTGCAGCTGCTCAACTGTTCCAAACCAGTGTGTATTCCCACAAACTCACTCCTACTTGTAGCCTTAGGGATCCCTCATTTTTATAATGGAATCGCGAAGAGTTAATTCTATGTAAATATAGGTAAGTCTCCACATCGTTCTGTTAGCTACATGGAGTGCAGATATGTTCTAATCTCATTTTCTGCGTAGCCAGAGGCATAGGGGAGAAAATACAATTTCTTCCTAACGTCATCATATAAAGTAAGTCTGATTCTAACTCAGTTTTTTGGAGAACAGATTTGGAATGGAAATGTACACACGCCCCCCTGGTAGGCAATTATGGGTTGTTTTTCTGCCGACTCATGCATAAGCTTCCACCGGGAGGTCTATGGGTGATTTACGGAAAGAAATTCACATGCTCCTGCTACAGTGAGCAGAACCTACGAGCCGAATGGACATGAAAGAAACATGTGCGAATGAGGTGCTAATCTTACACCTAACACCCCGCGGCTTACACTTTTGTTGTAGGACGGTATTGTGGGAAATTAACAAGACAAAAAATATAAAGCACAATTAAGTTGGAATCCCCCGTCCCGTGTTTTGTCATAAACATGACCCCTACTATGCCCCAGTGGTTATGATGTGCTCCGCGCGCGTTTTTCTTTTCTCTCCTTTTCTCTTTCCGCTAATTCTGGATCTGTGGTTGGGTTGGTGCGTCATTTTTAGCCGAAGTTAGACCGGTGAGTCAAAGGTAGACATCCTGGCTATTTCCTGTACGGTTCCCGAGAGTTGAAGTTTGTGTTTGGTCGGGTTGGAGGGCTAGCAACAGACGGCCACGCTTCCACACTACACCCTATACCAGCTGGCACCGTGTCAGCCACCCTGGAATTTATATGGTTCTAAATAGACGTGGGTACATCAAACACAAAAACATGTCCAGGTGCTCCAGTGCCATTTGTTCAGCTATACTCTCCAAACTGTAGCCTTTCAGTTCCCCTTACTGGTCGCCCCGAAACGAGAAAGAAAAAAAGGCCCGCCCTCCCCACACGTAACCCCCAGAAAAAAAAACGTGTCGAAGAAACCTGTTGGATCGGTACAGCTAAAGTAGACCAATTTTCGGATTTAGTCGGTTGGGCTCTGAAAGTGGTGTGGCGATTAACGCTACATTACACTGTATCACGCTATGTATTATGGATAGCTGGGAACCCGGGACTAGGAGAGAGGGTAAAGTACAAGTTACAAACTACACACGACATAGTTTCGTCTCGGCAGAAACAGGCCTATACCTTTGGAAGACAAACAGAGACCTGAGATACTAGGGGTCAGATATTCGCGGAATGCACTTGGGGGCAGGTAACCAGTCTGTCATACCAGCTAAGGTGAGGAAGTAGGGGACAGAAAATGAAGCTTAACTCATTCTACACGCGGTGTTAGGGGCAAGGGAACCAACGGACTGAGCGACGTTGCTACAACTGTCCTGTCGCCTTCCTACCTAGCAGCACCCGAGTGGCACTTTGTTGCACCACGAATAAACAAGAAGGTTTGGTGGAAAAAAACAAACGAGAAGTGTCCCCTCCCCACAACCCGATTACTAGCACTGTACACATGGCGTATTGTCGCTATTGTTTCTAACAATACCTTATTACCAACGATCAAGAGGGCACCCGAGGATACCGAACAAAACCTTCAAATTCTAACCTACATAATGGCGATAATACGTATGATTGTAAAGAAGCCCTACAACTCAATAGCACTGAAAGGACTCGCTCTGAATGGCTATACTAACAAAAAACGCTACAGAGAAATACGGCGCAACACGGTTTCTTTCCTTTTTCAACAACTCGCTGTCAATTTATTTCTCGACTTCTTCAAAAACGGAACGCGTCAACAAGTAGTTAGAAACTGTGCCGATAATATTTACAACTCTTGGCTCTGAGAAAGAAGTCCACAAAAATAATTATTCAAATAACTTCACAACACTGAATAACATTACAACTGAATCGTGGAGAACGAACACAGCATGGGAAAAATAAAACCATCAAACACAAGCGATATTTCCTCACAAAAAACATTGTCGTCAAATAGCAAATAGAATAAGTTCAACAAACTGTCTCATGTGGAAAAAAAGTTTCTCTATAAATTATATATTCTTTACAACTGCTTGGAGCAGTGGCACTCGGAAAACAAAATAAGTTCTTTTTTCGCGCGGGAAACTTGTATCCGCGCAACGTTGTCCATAACTTGTTTCTGTTCAAAAAGATATATCTACAACACACTTCGTCATCTAGCAAAAACACAAAAATCTTCTTAAATAACAATAAAAATGTCCAAAATTTGTACAACATATAAACAAACGGCAGAGTTAAGTCGAGAGTCGCTTTGTGCAAAAAAGTAAAGTGGATCCTAGTTTGACACCAGTCGTGTGGTTTATGATATAAGTCATAAAAAGTTTCTCTCAGTCTACCAGGAAAAAAGCTCCGATTTCAGGTTCAATTCACAGCATGATTGACTTCGTTCAAAACGAAAAGAATTAAAACAAAACCTATGGCTATGACAATGTACCCCAAAGTCGACTGAATACACGGGTAAACAAGCCCCTATTGAAAAGTTGTATGAGGACGTATAGATGCTCACATGTGACTGAGGGGAACTGTACCGTTGACCCCGACTGAGTTCTGATAGTGTCCTTGCATACTGTGGAGCCGACTCTGTGCGTTGGGGTCGTTGGCGTCACCCGGAAGGTACATGGAGATCATCTCCCGTAGGTCCCCGGGGCAGGGGTTCCTCCCGCGGCCATCTGCAGGCGGCGTGCCGGTCGGCGCTGCGGGGCCGGACTCCGTCTTTACCGTCGTGAAGCCCGGCGGCATTTGGCTGCTCATGGTCTGCGGCGTGGTGTAGTGGTGCGGGTAGGGGTTGGTGGTGTAGCTGGAGCTCGAGTAGCTGGTGTAAGAGTTAGTGGTGGCCATGGGGTAGGGTGGAATTTGGCCAGACATGTCGTACCTGGGCGGCAGGGACGCGTTGGACGCCATTTGCGAGGCCGTCTGGGCGGGAGAGATGCCCGGGTGCGGGTAGGCGTGCAACTGGTCCTGGTGCATCATGTGGGTGTACGCGTTATTGGACATGTACCCGTTCATATGAGCATACTGGTCCATACCTGTGGCGATGGTACGCTGGACGGGAGCCCCGTTGGCAGCGATCAGCCCACCTGGCAGGCTATATTTGTCCTTCTTCATCAAGGTTTTTGTCTTCCTCCTTGGCCGGTACTTGTAGTCGGGGTGTTCCTTCATGTGTAGGGCACGTAGCCGCTTGGCTTCGTCGATGAAGGGCCGCTTCTCGGCTTCTGTCAGAAGTTTCCACTCGGCTCCAAGACGCTTGCTGATCTCCGAGTTGTGCATCTTGGGGTTTTCCTGGGCCATTTTCCGGCGCTGTCCGCGTGACCACACCATGAAGGCGTTCATCGGCCGCTTGACTCTCGACGAGTCGTTGGCGGCCTTGTTGCCGGGCGAGACTGCGCCCGATGTCGGCGGCTTGAGCTCCGTCGGGGACGAGGCGGACGGAGGTTGGCTGGGCTGGGCCGGGTGCACGGCTGTCTCCATCATAGCGAAGTACCTACTAGTAGCCAGCACGACTGAAGTTCGTGTTGTTGTTGGGAGAAATGGAGAGAGAGCGAGGAGACGACGTGGTAACAAGTTCCGACCGCTGCGTACCACAAGACAGGAATACTATGCGACTTGTTTCGTGAGAACACTCGATATTTTGGGGGGCAGTTTGCCTATCACGTCCATGTGTATTGATTGGCAGTGCGCAAATCACTTAGCGGCCGACCAATCAGAGGCGAGCATTCTGACAGCCATGATGAATAGTTATTTAGTTATGTTGCCCCGTCAGTGTTGGTGACAGGTGACGTAGCCAGGGGACAATTGGCGGCGGGATTTCGCCGAGTAGGCGGCGCTTCGGACACGGGCGCGTTTTTTTATCGATCACCGATCGAGGCTACCGCAAAATCGAATTCAGTTTTCTCCAGTCAGCTGGCACAATTAGGCCCTAATCATTTCAGGCTAGGAAATGAGTTGTCAGTCCGCCATGATGGTACCACAGCCTACAGCTGCAGGTGTTTACTCCGGCACGGTGATTGACAGCTCCCCCACGTGCCAATCAAATGACGTCATGTGACAAATGCTTCATTCTCCTTTGTAGGGGTGCCGTAGTTGTGGTGATGGCATATGCAATTAGGTCCCCACCGGCCGGACTGGCGAGCGGAATGTCACAACGCCCGGGCTGATTTATTACTGCAACCACCGTCCGTACGGCGGGGGGAAAGAAATAAAAAAAAGGGGGGGGGGCTGCTAGGGGAGCTGCCATGTCACCTGGGCGGGGGAGGTGTGCAAGGTGCACCGAGCGGCGCGCAACCCGACCCCCGCTATCGCTCGCCGAAACACGAGGAGTTCAGACTATCGGATTTTTCCACAACAAACAGTGGCAGGAAATTCGAGTAATGATCGGCTGGGCCTTTGCTCCGCCCTTACAATAATTAGCATTTATCAAGCATTCATCTCAACCCACCTCAAACAGTGGAGTTGTGAAGTCTGAATGGGGCTGATGTTTAAGTATGGACTCTCTAAAAGAACCCAAAATATGAAAATTGGATAACAACAGGCCCTCACAGACGGTAGAGTGTCGATTGGGCCACTTCCTACCCGGTGTTTTGTCCTACATGTAGGGTACACGAGAGAGCGTGCATTCTGGAACAGTTGGTCGGCCCACGCGGCCATATTCCCCCTGTAAAGTGTACCTGTGTGGCGGCTGGCCGTGTCTTGCCGTACCGTACCATGACTATCCACACGCAGTCGTACGTACTTCAGATTTTTCTCTACTTCCCCCTTTTATAGCCTAACCCGCAAATCTGCGCGTTAAATCCTGACAAAATTCCCAGTGCGGGCGATTGGTAAGTACTCCAGGGGCACATTTCGCCTCGGTGGTAGAGCCTGGTGGATTAGGCAGAATATCTGGGTAAAACAGATAGAAATTAAAAGATAGGGGCACGGGTTATAAACGATAGGAGTGATTCGTCCCGGGGGAGCTGGCATCCAAATCTATTACGCGGCATGATCCAGCGACATGATGCCTAATGTGGGGCGCAGTGGGACGGCTTGACATTTCTCTACACTACGCGCCCTGTTACCCTTGTCCGCGCCAAATTAAAAATGCGCGGGCAGATTTCCCCCAACCCCGGATTTCCTACAGCTTCAAAGTTTCCACCGGCCTCGTCTCTCGGACCGCGCCCAGGTGGGATTCGAACCCAGAGTCGTTAGTCCTGCTCGGCTTTAGAGTTGTATTGTACAGATGCGCCGGTGGTATTCCCTGGTCCCTTCTTCACATAATGAGGATATGCACCGGGACCGTGGGAAAGAGCTAACGCTGAGCCCCCTCGCGTGTTAAAGTCGTGTTTTTTCCACGAGTGTGGGGGAGGGAGGGGTGGTAGAACCGGTATGACACACACACACACGCCAAGAGATACACTCCGATAGCCTATCCTCTCACTATCCACCCGACAACATTCCATAGCATACGTGTGAAGTGGGGAGGGGGGGCGGTGTTGAACTTAACAGGTGTGACTACCGATACATCCTGTGTCCCGAAATATGTCCCGAAGTACGGACCGAATCCTCCGAAAAACGGATGTGCAACCAAAACAAACACACACACCTCACACATGACTCAAGTTTAGAACCGAATACAGCTCATATCAACTACCAAGAAAAGTATAGCACGTTGAGGGTAATTAAAATCTCTCTAAGGCCCACCAACATTGCTGCCGACCCCCCACTACAGTTTAGAACAAAGAGACATTTAGATAGCAGTGGCTGATCGCCTGACGGTATGAGGTGTTCCTCCGGTAAGATAGCTTACAGCGTGCGGAGATAAGTTTCCTTGCACAGGTGGGACACCGGAAGCCAGGGAGAAACTTTTGTTTCTCTCTCCGTCAAGCACTTGTTACCCTCAAGAGGGGGATGCCCCCCTTTTAATGTTTGGAAGATTCTTAGACGGAACACAAATAGGTTCAAGTACTCGTTCTTTCCCGCCTTTTTTCAAAACAAAGACTTGAGGAACAGTAGACCCAAGACGAAGAAAGTACTGTAGTAGTTGAAGCGATTTTTCAACACACTCCCCGATTGTAAGAAAACACTGGGCGAAGCTTGACCTAGGGAACCCTAGACACCCTGTTGAAAAAGGTAGAACAAGAGTAGACACGTCTAGGGTTACCGTCCATTTTCCACCGCCGTGTCCTATACCAACACGCCAAAACCTTTTAAGACAACACATCTCAATCTCCTACATTCACTGCGACGTTCATTCAAAATTCCTGCTGTCGTTTTTGGCATTCTCGCACCACCCTAGCGTGGCAAATTATCAGTAACAGTACCCTGTACGTAACCACTACTGCCCACAGCTCCAAATATCAAATTATCATAGCCTAAATTTTTCCGTAAGTCTGCATTAGGGAATTACTGTACAGGGTTGGTAGCAGGGGTGCTGTGGTGAGTGACAGCGCCAATTAGTCCAGTAAATTAAGTCGGAATATTGGCTTAGACTAGGTGCACAAACATAGTACCAGTCCTGGGTTTCCCGTGTTCGCTAGGTTGTTGGGGACAGCGCCTACGATACGTTGTTTCCGTGAGACTACGATAAGAGATACGGCTACCGTATAGACTTAGTATAACACAACGCCAGAAAAGAGAGTCGGTAAAACACAGCTATTCTAACAGTTCTTAGAGCAAGGTCTGACCGCGTGTACTTCCTAAGACAGGTGGACAAAGGCATGGGCGGGACGCGGCGATGGAAAGGTGTTAAGAGGGCTTGAGGAGACCCCGAACCCCGTGATGGTCCTCCAACACATCTCTTCACTCCACCTGCGTTTGCGTCCACACGTCAGCCACGATGATTTGCTACCTGTAATAGCGAAGAGCTCCTCAAACTCCCCACACAATGAAAACGTGCGAGTAAAGACTCGCGGCAAACACTCTATACTATGGAGTCAAAGGGGAGGGGGAAGCCGCTCTTTTCAGACACTGACAAGGGATGATTTGTACCCATTGTTTAAAACTACACAACAAACCGCCTGCTTAGTTTATGGACTACCTTACAAGACGTGAGTGTACCTGTTTCTTCTAACAAAAGGGAACAGCGGGCGCTACACCGATCACAAACACTTGGCGTGTGCTAAACCCACTGTCCACTTTCTAAAGGCCTTTACAATCTCTGTTACAGGGAAACAAACCCAGGGAAAAGAGAACTAGACGGAGCTTGAAGGTAAAGCTTTTAGGTATACAAAAGTTTTGATAGATATGCCGGCAATACTACTGTGGGTGTTCCAATCAGAAACCTCCTTGGTTCATAGAATGTAGATTTTACGCATACATTCGATGCAAAACACGCGTGAAATATACAAAAGCCAGGAATCTAAAGGAAAATAATAGGGTTAAGATTTTAGAAATAAAGAAAAACACTTAACATTGACATTTTTCTTAATGCACACATACTTCTTGAAACTGTACAAATAAATCATAAACAACACATTTCTACAAAATTCAAGTTCTCTTTGAAGTTTGAACATTTCATAAGATTTGTCGGGACGCAAGTCATTTACGTGGAGTATTATAGCACGGAAAAGTTGTTCGGAACACGTTCAGTGGACGCAGGTGGCCTTATATCAAGCAAGGCATCAAGTTCATAAATCTCAAGTCCCTCTCGAAGTGTCTTTAAGAGTCCCACTATTGGAGAGGAAACACGGTAGAAAAATACGTCTACATTTACAACTGTTGTTGGAGCAGTCTAGCCTCTGCCAGGCTTCAGAAGCGACTGGAAAGAGGAGAAATTGCCCAAATAGATAGCTAGCTGGAAACTGGACCAACTCCCTTGGCATGTTATCTGTCTATTAGGCCAATTTCTACTCTTTCCTAGTCTCCACCAGGCTCCACTGCAGGCTGAATAAATAGTAGAAATCGGTCTAAAAAGAATGTAGTTGGCCAGGGGAGTTGTCCGGCTTTAGAATGTCCAGTTTGCTAACTCTTTAGGTTAGGAGATATGTACAATCATAAAATGATAAAAGAATGGAAGAGAAAAATTGTCTATAATGTTGTGATAGAATATTAGGGTTTCACCCCCCTTGAAAGTCAATTACCCCCCTCCAGCTACTACCCCCTCTGAACAACAGATTGACAGACTAACGCGACACCCCTACTTTCGAAGTCAACCCCTCAGATAAAAGTGATAAACAAGTAATTAGCCTTAAACATAATCAGTAAAATAATCCCCACCAAAAATATCTCTGACCTAAGGGGACAGTACGTTAATAAGACACAAAGGTGAAGCAAAAGTAAAAATATATACTTGTCAATGAAACGTTCTTAATTTGGATCCCGTTAAACCTACACAAATTCGATCGAGTTGCCACCCGTTAAACCTATAAAGATGAAGAAAATTACCATAATTTCGATCGAATTCTCTCCTGTTTTCTTGAGACAAAAAATGAAAATGTCCCTAAGATGTTTCCTCTCCTACCAGAAGAGTTACAGGTTTGTCCCTAAATATAATCATGGCGAGGGGAACCTTGAGTGCGAGTTAATTGAATTTAAGGGGAGGGGAAGGTTACTCTCGGTACGGGAGAAGTCTGACTTTGTTAGCCACCTTATCCTCCTAGTTGTGTCTTGCAATTAACAACAGTTTCACGTAATAAAGTTTAAGTTTCCCTCCCTAATAGCTTCATTCCATTGTGCTAACCGTGACTGACAGGTCGGCTAAACTTCGTTTGGGACAAGAAAACTAACTTAACACTTAAGCACGGAAAAAAGTCAAATGAAAATTGCGACGCTTTGGTTTGTTCTCAACAAAACTCATCAGCGAATTTTCGGTATAAGTTACCGTCAAATTGTGCGATTTTTCTTCTTCTTTCGTTCTAAAAAACAGTTTCTTAACACGTGACGCAATCGTGTCTTGTGAGAATCATGTACATGTATTTAAAAAGAGAAACCACGTGATGAGCAGTGTTGATTTAGTGGTTTACATGAAAACAGCGCATCACAAAAGAAACAGAAGACTTATTTATTTTTCCTCAACCAGCACAAACAGAAATTTGACAGTACAGCTATGTTTTCTCACCAGAAACCTTGTTTTCTTGTTCCTTTCCCTTCTTTTACATTGTACACGGCTTAAAATTATTATCTTTGATAACATAAAGGTCTTTTAGAATATTAGACGTATGAAATAAAGAACTGGGAGCAACGAACGCGCGCTGACTTTCACCCAAAGATCATGAAAGAACGCTTCAGTTCCCATGAAAGAAGAGAAGACCACTAAGTAACGAAGTTACCTCATTAAGAAAAGTCTAGACACTTGAAGATATAATGAGGACGAAGTTGAAGGATTCCAAGACAGGAAGCTGGTAGTAATTTCCGTCGTGAAGGATTATGAAGGCAATTAAAGAGAAAACGTCAAAATTAAGTAAAATGGAGTTTTCAATGAAAAATCAAGCACCATGGTTTTTGATAGATTAGGTTATAAATAGCACTTTGGGAATCGGAACTTCACGTATGACGCACATATATTTTTCGAATGACGAAAGAATTTTTCAATAGATTCGAATTCTTAGACATTTGCTTGTTGCTTCTATGATGTGGTGTCATTTTCGTAATAAGTGTTCGAAATTGGGAACCGATTTGCGAATTCCCAAATTACAAATCGTTTTGTGATATAGAATAATTACATAAATTGTTTGGATATTCGATAAGTAGAAAATGAAACATTGTTAGCCTTACATGTATCATTCTTTTCAATTTCATACTTGCAAATATTATTTTCTAAGATTGTGTGACATTGTTCTTGGGAAGTGGGAAGATCACTCAAGTGATGTTATAAAAAGAAATCTTAAGAAATACAAACGAGAAACTTCTCAGATAACCGTCTGTTATTATTATGAAATAAGTACACTTATTTCCAGTATTTAGAGTTATACCAGATGTAGAAATGATCGGATAGCTTACACACAATTTCTGTCGTTATTATTTTCATTCAAAATTACGATTTATAATGATTCCATCGTGACATTAAACATCAGTATGCGCATCTCCGATCACAGAAGTCAGGGCTCAGATTCTGAAATATTCCGCGCATAACGGTTTGTAACAAATGGCGGGATAGAATCATTCGTATTATTCCCTTTCTGTTGACAGTCGCTTTGTCATGCCACAACCCCTGGCCACGGCTCCTCTCAATCCAGCCCATCTCCGTCTCCTCTATAAAAACCCTCTCAATCACCGTGCCGTAGCGAGTGTCTCTCAGTCGATAGCGGGGGTTTAAGGTGGTACCCCGACGACCGTACGCCTGGAAATTTTATCTCCCCCTCCGCCAACCACCTCCACAGGGAGCCGGCGTCTATTTTTCTCCCCAACTACCAGAGGGAAAATAAAGAGATACCTGTAACCTGACTATCCCAAGACTGACGGGCGAAAATCACCCGAAAAGCCTCGACCCACATCGATTGTTTGAACCTTCTAAATTATTCAGGCGGACTAATTCCAGGCGGAGGGCCGCCGTACAAAAAGAAAACGACGTTGAGTGATGGGAAGAGGATACCTCGCCTTTTGGTATAAAGCCCAACGACTATCGAACAAGCCTGGAGCAAACGAGGGCCAATCTAAATCTGACGCGAAGTGACCTCCCCGCCAATTATATCCCCATTAATCACCATTTTTACTTCTTTTTCTTTAAATATGATATCTAAGAAGTTCGCAATCACACAGGTGTTTTTGTGGAGTGGTGGTAAGGACGCTACTCTAGACCGCTCTTCGTGTAGAGATAAGAAATGTCAACACCCACCGATTTGCAAACGTATTTTCCATATCCAAATATTAGGCCGCCCGGCAATTGAAAAGATAATGCCCGGGATAAGTTTCAATATTGCCGCTGGAGTGACGAGGATACCCGGGGTCTTTCCGCGCTGGATATGTCCTCTTTTGTCCGCCGTGTTTTTATAACGTCGGGTCAGAAAGCAAGGAGTATTCTATTACTTCTACAACATTTACCGTCCGTTTAAGTGGCATGAATATTTAACTGGCCCTTAAGGGTGGAGTAATTCCTCGGTTTATACTGTCCAAACTTCTCAAAGAGGAGCGTAAATCGAGCGGTTTAGCGAGGGATGATTCAACTCACGTAATAACGACCGAGACCTCGCCTTTTCTCCTACCAATAAAACCGCCCCCCTCCCCTTGGGAGCATGGTTAACCTTAAGATTGACGACTCCAAAACTTCTTAAGATACCTTCCCGACTACTTCTACCGGCCGGACGTCCGCTATGATCGCATGACGACGTCAGGACCATTTCCTTATCAATTTTTGAAGACACACACGTCTCTGTTTAAGAGATTTCTCGCGTGATCACTTAAGTTAATTTGCATTAATTCTGACAGCACCGTGCATATCCTACATTCAACCATCTGTTTTAAGCAATACCAATCAGCATATGTTGTGGGTTAGCATTTGAATGTCAGGCATTTAATTAAACTAAATGGTCACTAACATCCCCATACATTTTTGCAACAGTTGCAGATATTATTGTATTCTACATAATTTCCGAACATATCTACTAACCTCTCTTACGGTCTGATTTTTGCGGCACGGTCTTTCATGTGTGATTACATATTGAATATTGGATAAATCTTATATATAGTAAACAGTACTATCACAGGGCATCTGAATTCTAATAACCCGAAACGCAGGGCCGTGGCATCTGTAGCACGCTATTGGTGACAAATTACTGCAGTTTCGTGCGACCATTGCTGTGTCTGTGTATGTTTACTACAGTACGTTGTCATACATATCCTTCATTGATTGATTGCTATACAAACAACACATTAATGTACAAATGTGTTTTTGTCTTTGATATCCAGGACCATCCGACATCGACTAGAGAAAAACAAAAACAGCTATCTGAGACCCCAAGGACAAGTCGATCTACAGAAACCTTGTCCTCAAGAACATACAATACAATTTCTTAAGGTTAGGTTATAATCTTGAAGTAGTTTTCCTTGGTTTGAAGATGTGTATCTTCTATGAAATGTCTTAGAATATCGAATATGTATGCAATAATTGTGAAATCTATGAATCATTTTATACTAAGAGTATCAAATATATAAATATGAGTCATACACTTAATCTCCAAGCAGATCTTTTGGTGGATACAAAGACAGTATCAAATTGGCCAGGCAGTATCCATTTGTCAGGCAGTTAGCATTTGCCACACGAAGTTTGGCTGGTATAAAAAACGATACCATTATATGAAAAAAGAAAGCCCGATAAAAAACGCCTGAAAACGTCAAAAAATAAGCCTAAACCTCTGCTTGGAGAGTACAGAATATCGGCATGTATGCAATAATTGTAATCTATGAGTTATCATATACTAGGAGTATCTTATATGAGGCATACACCTATATATCTATAGCGGTAACTTGTGGTCAAACACCTGGCAGGCATGAAATGTTTCAAACGAAGCCACGCCCCTTTTGTGCCATGACTGACAGCTGGTAACCTACGAGTTGACAGTATTGGAAATGTCAAGCGATCTTCATTTTGCGGAACGATTTTGCGTGTGATATAACCGGCAATCATATATGTATAAGGGACATGGATATGGAACAAAGCAGACTATAGCCTGGTATATATGATACCCGTATATGTATTAAATGTATATTCGGTATAACCGCCCTTTGGCGTAACACACCAGCTTCAATGTGTATGGTACCCAAACTAGATTGAAAACTGTTTTGTATGAAAATATACATTTCAACTTACCGTTTGTTCGAATTCTGTCAGATGTACATCCTTTAAGGTGGCACCGAATGACCACATCTTCTTGCATTATCTGTAAACGAAGCAGAAAAATATGATTTATATGTGCATCAAACATACAAATGATTCTACATAAATGCCACAAAATTTACCCCCAACAAGACATAACAATCGAGCCCCTCCCTACTTCACAGCGGGAGTTTCATACCAATGCATTGTCAGTCAGTAATAAAGCTATAATAATCAGGCTATCAATCTATCTTATATTCCTGAATAAAGAAAAAAAAACAACGCAAAATTAGAAGAACTATCAATATAAAGTAGTGATGGTTTAAATTTTATATATGCGGTGTAATTACTAGTATATCGTGTTTGTAAGATATAACTAGTTGGGAACATAGAATATAGACTTCTATTCTCAAGTTTGATCTTTCACAAGATGACACTGTAGCTACTACGTATCACATCGATTCGTTACTGTACTGTTCTGTTTCAAACCTGTCTGAGATAGAAAAAAAACAGACACGTAATCAATAAAACACGAAGAAAGGGATTCAGAGAGACTGCAACATGTTTCACCGAGGGGATTAAACAATTGTCTGTCCGACCCTGACCCTGAGTGACCCCCCTCCCCCTCCCTTGCCCGAGAGGACGATAGAGTTACGGCTGGGAGAAAGCACAGAAGGAAAGCCAAGTGTTTTTGTCACAATGGCTGCAGGAGAACAGTGGTGTTCTCGTGTCGGGAGGACCTTTATAGAGAAGCAACCATTGGGGTGAAGACAGGGCCGTACGTTCTATACACACTCCAGCCAACCACGGCAAAGCACATAATAGTCTGTTATGTCTGGCTATTGATAATCAACAATCTCAAAACGGTTATCCTCTCTAGGGTTAGATATATACATATTCATAATCTGTCATTTTATCGTTTTCTTCATTGGGTGGGGACTGCATGGACGTTTATCAAATTTTATTACACTATGGTAGATATTTATTTTTATTTAATATTATTTAATCTATGTTTTTGTTATATGTAAGTGGTAGCATAAAACTGAGTCTTCTTAACTTGAGTGTGTTATCACTTTGTGCTGTAGTACGTATACCATCTTTAATGTTTGAATAAAAAATTAATCTATCAGTTGTTTTCCGAGGAAATTATTTACCAGTGAAAGATTAAAAACGTTAGTACTAGTTGTGAGTTTTTTTTTTACTGAATGAAGATTTGTTTCGAAAACACGTAGCATTCACTATTGACAAAAATAGTAGCTGCCTCTTGAAACGTCTGGTAGCTTTCAGAATCTAACCATTTCCTGTGTATCTCATTACCTGGATGTCTCTAACCTTCATCGACGAATTAAAATCATATTTCTTGTGCATCTGTGTCACACACAGTGCTAAGTGTGTACAAAGTTAATAATAAAAAAACAAGGCACATTAGCTAATATCAAATAAGCCTTGTATATTAAGATACAACATTATGAAGAATGTTCGTGTCAATGGTAGTTAATGAAGTAACATCTTGTCATTTTTCATATGGACAATGTTGCTGTAATTGGCAGCGACAGGTGGGTGTGTCATCCCTCGTCAAGGCCATAGCAACGGTTGCCATGGCTGCACCTGGTGACGCCTATGTCACTGTCCTTGAATTTTCTTAGAGAAATACCATGTCGGTTTGTGGGAAAATATTTCGTAAGACGTGAAATAAGAATATGGACTTTCGATCAAAACGAATGAAATATCAGAGGTAACATTACATATGTATATTTGCATGCTTCAGATCATAGCATCACTAATATTGACATGATTACAATTCATTTTCAAAAAAGGACAGTTATCTTTCGACTAAAGGTTTGGAAAGTAGTCTTTTATATATCTTATAGATTTGATATATCAAAATAACATTGGGTACATAAGGACAACAAGCATGAAAACAATGTAAACATCTGTATTTTTTTAAAGATAATTTTGAAACCTTTTTCACTTATTATATTTCGCATATTTTCCAAGCCTGTGCCCTGGTAAGTACCATGGGTTAACAATGTAGAAGTAGCAATAGTAGTCAATGGTAAGCCTCGCTGGTCTATGTAAGATCGGTTTAGTAAAATAAATCCGAGTATACAAATATTGAGAGTTAGTTATACATATATATATGGCAAAGACCAGGCCGGAAATACTACGGATTTAAAAAGATGACAGGTGACCACAGAAGGCCTGTGATCGCCTTTGATACCCCGCAAGGGATAGATATATTCCCCTGAGGTTGTCAAAAACTCCTGACAGAAAATGTGTGTCTCTGACAGCCAAACAGGAAACATGCTCGTAAACAGGCAAACCGCCTGGCTTCCGTAAAAACAGAATAAAAATACGTCGCGAAATAGTATCTGGTTAATAATGTATCAAAATTCTGGAATGGTCCGTTTTGTCTCAGTTCTATCAAGAAGGCTAAAAATCTAGATTTTATTTAGATATATTCGGTAGTACGATGAAAAATTGTACTAAAGATGTAATGGTTTTCTAAATGTTTTAAAGGGAGTTAAACCTTGTTACGAGAAGTGTAACAAATCATTTGTTTTAACGTGATCTGTACTTAAAATTCTATGCAATAAGGACGAAATTTGGATGTGTGTGCCCGCGAGATCCTTACTAAATAAAAAGAAATTAAAATTTGAAATAAAGAATAAAAGAGGATAGAGCTATTAGAAGAACTGTATATTGATGTACACAGTGATACAGTTGTGATATTTTTGTGTATATCGTTCCGTATTGAGCGGTATTTTCATCACCCTGTCTGTATACAAGTGTGAGTGTGGTGGGGTCAAGAGAGAGGGTTTGTTAGGATTATCTCCTGTTTACAGTGAAACGTAATTGATTTGTACAGTCTTATACCCGCGTATACACCGGGCTGTACGGGGATATCAGCACAGCTGGAGCAATATACGGAATATATGTATGGAATTATACCTGTAGAAACGTACACCGGGCTATACGGAGACATCACTACATCTCGAGCAATATACGGAATATCTGTATGGAATTATACCAATATAAACGACACCGGGCTATACGAAGATATCACCACAGCTGAAGAAATATACGGAACATTTGTATGGAATTATACCAATACAAACGACAGCGGGCTATACGAAAATATCATCATATGCCTAAAGCGATACGGAACACCTGTATATGGAAACCGGCTGGGTTCTATATTAAAAAATCTACAAATACATACTTCAAACCGGATTTCTGTACTTCATATTACACTGACGGTCATGGCAAATAATACACGATTTTGTCAGTAATTTTTATTTAAATGCTGCAAGAGATACAACATCCAAACCATCGCTTAATTTTCAGGTTCATATTTGGCATGATACGAGTAGTAAAATCAAGGAACTCCTTGGCACAATTCAAGACGAACTTAGTGTTCTGTAACATCTCGTCTGTATGTTATGAAATTATATCTTTAAAATGTAAGTTTATATTTCTGTCCGTAGACAACGTTTTTCTCAGTTTTTGCGCATAATCAAGGAAATTATACTTCTGTATAATGTCCTCGGATATAATCTAGTAGCGTCCACTCTTCAAGGCAAAACATGTTAATACCAAACCGTAAAAACCAAACATATGTCAAAGCCTTGCCTACAATAACACATACTGGGCAAAAATCTGTTTCAACGTAACATAATCTTACATATCTGTATAAAAAATAAAATTTGTTTCCCGTTCCAAGACTAACTGTACCACAGGACTATATGAACAGCTCTACACGATCTATCTTTAAAACAGAGACGATAATGTGCTATTTTCCGGAAGAGAGAGCCAACAGTATACCCCTATTGTTACCACTACCTGCAAACCATCCATCTCACCTACTTCACACACACTATACCGCTATTAATATGCTAATATAATAAGGGGGTTTCCCCGTGTATATAATAGCTACTCATGTACAAAAAGCCTGAAAGTGCCTGCGCGTAGCTGACTCGGATTTTTTTCTATCCTTACGGACGAAAGGAAGGGAAAATATGATGATGAATGATGTCAATTATCCCATCAAGAGTTGTGGATTTAGATGAATCTAGTGGAAGCCGCGGGGATTCGGTGGAACTACTCCGCTAAATTAGATTATCGGCTAAGCTGAATATATGGATAGTTTGGGATCGTAGAGCGCCACACCTCACTCAATATATCGATACATTTCGTTCCAGATGTGTGCTTACTTGCATTTATATTCTTTTCTGTTGAAATTTCATTAGCACAAATGTTTGAAAAAAATTGTCATTTTTGTTGTTGAAGAATGTGCAACAAATCGTCCAACACAACCAGTTACCGTTTGAATTACCTAGGTAAAATAATGACATTTTTGTGAGTATTTCTTCATATGGCGAGGAATGAAACTTTAAAATATCTAAGAGAATCAACCATAGATGATTTAGACTTAAAATACAACGATCAAATCATAAGTTTATAGTTACAAACGCAACACCATTAGTATCTACAGGGTCCATGCAATATGTCTTGTATTTTGTACTGTGCCTTATGCCGATATGATATTACTAATTACCATTCTAATATCACCACATGTGTATACAAAGGTATCAGATGCCGACAAATGTCATTAAAATGGAATTACATACATCGCCAAATTACACTTAAGTTACATCTATGATATATTCATACTGAATACAATACCAACAAACTAAGAAACCATATGAGCAGATGAATGATATTTCTTGTGTTTTTTTAGATGATTAGAAATCATTTGACAGACCCTTGCTAGAGGACATCACCGTTGGTGTATATAAGGAGTTGTGCAGTGATCATGTAGGTACATTTGATAACCAGGTCCGTATAATGACACAGGGTAGGCTAACCGTTATCAAGCCAAGGCAGCGGACAGACACAACAAATTACACTATCCAAAAACCAGGACAACCCTTTCACACAACCAAGCTCTTCTATCCACCCACATTCGGGTGGAAAATAAACGCACACATCTGTGTTACCCTATACTATCGCAAAGTGGTCGTATGTATAACGTTATCGGTATATGATCTGGGTTTTAAAGAG